GCGCACAACACACATGCACACACCACAACACACACACACACACAGCACAACCACACACGCACACACACACATCACACACAACACATCACACACGCACACACCACAAGACGCACACACACGCACACTACACACACACACATCACAACACACAAGCACAACACACACACACACACACATACCGGTATAACACACGCCGCCACTGCAGCTGCCCGCACGCACACACCATGCCACACGCGCGCGGCGCACACACGCGCAACACGACACACGCCCGGACTACACCAAACATACACCACACACACTCCACACACCGCACACACACACACATCACATCCACACTACACACACAGCACGAACACACACACACTAAATTTTATGCACACTCTCTAATATTTACTTGGAACAGTGATCAGTATACGCAGACTGAAACTGTTCTTAGCTGCTGACAGTTGTCGATGGCTTAGCGACGCACCCCAAAGCACCGCCCGCTACCGTCATGCTCCGTCGCGTGTCATGGTCAGCGCGTCAACTCCCTTGGTCATTGAGATGACGCATGTTAATGCTTGCCCTGAACCTCGGTGTGAACTGTATCGGGTGCTCCTCGATCCTAGGAGATGAAACGCGCGTATTGTCATAATTGTCATCACTAGCCAATTTCAATTTCAACACCCATATTATTACAACCCTAGCATTACAACCTCAACCCAATATTAACAACCCATTACAACCCTAACCCTAACCCTAACCCCATATTTCGACCTACTTCATACCGAAGCAATTAATATATAATACTATATATATATAATATATATATATAATATATATATATAATATGTATATTGTTGCGTGTGGTGGGTCGTGCGTGCGTGCGTGCGTGGCGTGCTGTGTGTGCTGGCGTGCGTGCCTGTGTGTGTGTGGCGCCGCCGCGTGCGTGCCTTGCGTGTGCGTGCTGCGTGCCTGTGTGGTGCGTAGTGTGTGCGTGCGTGCTGTGCCCTGGTCGTGCGTGTGCAGTGCGTCGCGTCGCGTGCGTGTGTCGTGCGTGTGTGCGTGCCTGTGTTGGTGAGTCATCGGCACACTACATCCACAGTATCTTTCAGCTGTGCTGCCAGCGCACGGGAGGGTCGACACGACAGCCGTATCCGCCGCCGAGGCCGAAGCGCGCAGGAACCGCACGTCCGGCGCGCAGACTAAACACCTTCTCCCGCAACGCCCAGCAGCTGTGCAAAACCTGCTGCCGCGGCAAGGTCACACTGCATAAATCGTCGTCCGCCTGCAAGTATCCGCCGTGCGAGTCACGTGGTTGCCACAGGCGTGTGGGATGATGTAATGGGGAAGTTGGGGAAAGCACTTCGCGCTACACGCCCACACGCGCGCACACGCCAAACCACATCAACAACACTCATTTCATACACCACTATTCTCTCTCTTACACCACACGCGCACCGCCGCGCAGCCACACGCACGCACACGGCATGCAACACACCATAGCAACTGCTTTCATGACACCCTCTCTGCTTACACACAGACCACACACGCACACACACACGACACACCACACAGGCACCAACAACAGCAACACACACACAGCACACACACACAACACACACACACACACACCCTACACACACAACACACACACGATAAACACACGCACGCACGCCCCACCTAGGCGCGTGCAACAGATAGATAGATAGATATGATAGATAGATAGATAGACATAGATATATAGATAGAAGATAGATAATAGATATAGATAGATAGAATAGACCTAGATCATATAGATCACAAGAATATAATAGATAGATAGATAGATAGATAAGATAGATAATAGATAGAATAGATAGATAGATAGACATAGATAGATAAGATAAAGATAAAGATAGATAATAAGATAGATAGATAGATAGATAGATAGATAGATAGAGTAAAGATAGATAGATAGATAGATATAGATAGAAGATAGATGATATAGATAGAAGATAGATAGATAGATAGATATAGATCAGATAGATAGATAGATAGTAGATAGTAGAGATAGATAGATACGATCGTAGATAATGATGTAGATAGATGACAATGTAGATGGTAATATAGATGGATAGAGATGGATAAGGATAGATGGATAGACGGCATAGACGGATAGACGGATAGACGGATAGACGGATAGACCAGATAGAAGATAAGATCAATAGATAGATACAAGATAGATAGATACGATAGATACATACGATAGAAGATAGATAGATACGATAGATAGATAGATATATAAGAGATATAGATAGATATGATAGATAGATAGATACGTAAGGATATGATATGATAAGATAGAAAAGATAGAAAGATAGAAAGATAGATAGATAGATAGATCAGATAGATAGAAGATAGATAGATAGATAATAGATTAGATAGATAGATAGATAATGATAGATAGATAGATAGATAGAAAATTTTTTAGATATAGATAGAGTAGATAGATAGATAGATAGATATGATAAGATAAGATAGATAGATAGATAGATAGATATGATAAGATAGATAGATAGATAGATAGATAGACTAGATAGATAGATAGATACGAATAATAGATATGATAGATAGATAGATAGATAGATAGATACGATAGATGGATTAGAACAGATAGATAGATGGATTAAATAGACAGATAGATAGATAGATAGATAGATAGATAGATAGGATAGATAGATAGATAGATAGATCAGATACGATAGATAGATAGATACGATAAGATAGCCAGATAGACAGATAGACAGACGGATAGGCTGATAGATAAATAGACTTAGATGGGCATACACACAACACTACAGCACACACACACACACACACACACACACCACACACACAACCACACACACACACACACACACACACAAAACCACGCCCTTCGGTCACGCCACGACGCACCTTTAACGCAATGGTGAAGGCCGTCGTTGGTCGTCGTCCGGCGTCGCAGCCTCGGCGGCGCAATCCCGCAAGCCAGCCCCGCCTCCGCCCAGCTCAGACGTGTACCGAGGCTAAATTCTGCGGCTACGGCGTCGCTAACCCCGGGCGCAGACGCCAGGTCAGCTCGAAGGTCCACGTGATCCCTGCGGCTCGCAGCCCCGTCGCCCGACTCCCACAATCAGGCATGGCGCTGCTCGCCGTGCGACGTCAGAAGGACGATCTGGTATTGTCCGAGTAGTCGGCGCACGGGTCTTACGGGCGCATGCGCGGGTTAGACATGCCGCGCGTGGTTGCGAAATGCGCTCTCGTCTCCAGTATTAAATTAGCCTTATGACCAAGTAATACATGGAAGAAACACGAAATGAAACATGATTGAATAAGAATCTTTGATTTAAAGCTTAAGGAATGGATTCAGTAAGTTACCCTAACATTCTTTTTGTGTGCGGCGCCTGTAGCAGACATATATACTGGGCGGTGGGACCTACATGACTGAGTATGCACATCATTTCGCTAAGCCAACGTACTTCTATATATGCACATGAAAGCTAACACCAATACATCCTTACCTAACACCGTACTCTCTATAATATGTTCAACATAACTCCTACATCTAACACCACTAGTTAACGCGCATGCAATCTGTAGAGGGTCCTGCATGGCAATGTACCGCGTAGTTAGAGATGAATCTCCACTGTCTGCTACTGGTTCCACTCCTAGTGTCCGAGTTCCACTCGCTAGCAGCTCGAGCGTGGAAAGCTGAGTGCCGGACCGCTCAGCAACACCACGTCGCGACTTCCCAGTACTCGCCTGCACGGTCACAACGCAAGGCGGCTAATCACTCGGCGCGACTTATATTTATCATCTTGCATTTTTTAATTCTATCATATCCTTCTTAAGTATATCTACTCCTTGGTAGAATATATAACGATAAATGCAGTCGCAACGCAGCCTCTGACAACGCATGCACGCACGCACACACCGACACCACCGCGGCGCGCGCACACACACAGACGCACACCACACACCGCGCCACCACGCACGCACAGCACAGACACACGCGCGCACGCACACAGCACACCGCGCACAGCCAACACACACGCGCGCGCCGCGCGCACACACACACCACACCGCACGTTTCGCTGATAAACGATGGCTAGGCTCCCTAAATATATACCCTGTTCGTTATTAAATACCTGCTCATTAATAAACACGGGTTCATTAATAAGCCCTGCTCATTAATAAACACCTGCTCATTAAATATCACAAACTGGCTCATTAATAAACACCTGCTCATTAGACAAAACACCTGCTCATTAATAAGAACCTGGTCATTAATAGACACCTGTTCGTTAACGCATACCTGCCCAGTGATGCAAACCAGCACGAATTTCAGTGAAGTGGCTTCAGTCTGAATGCAGCCTGCAGCTTGGCCTCACTCGAGTCAACCTCAATCGTGTCAGGTACAACTTCGCTGGAGAGGGAAGTCAACATTGGCTCACATGTCTGCCATCTATTACGTGTCCCCCCCCCTTTCCTGGCCCCTTATGCAGACCGTTACCTCAACCTCCTCGCCTAAACCCTTTCGCTCCCCCTTACACTGACGATGGTAATCCGGTTTTTGGCTGACAGTCTGACTGACTGACTGACTGACTGACTAGACATGACTGGTGGGGCCCACTATGAGCCACATG